CCAAGACAGGGTCATCCACCAAATATCAGTGACCTGGTGTGGTTCTGGCACTAGCCGCCCCAGCATCACCAGGCCCCCCAGAGCTGAGCTTGGTATTTTATACTGGCATGAGGGAGTGTTCTGACTATGGATTGCAATACACTTTAGCACATCACATAAATCCCCACCCCTGTCTCTACATAGTGACAGAAAGCACACCTTTTCCCTGAGAAGCTGAAAGTCCTCAGGGGGAGAAGTCCCCTTGGGCTGCTGACCTAACCCTATATACATGTGTGACTATGTATGTGTTGTATGTGTAGTGTGTATGTGTGTGTGTGAATCTGTGTTTGTTGACTGACTGATGGAGTGGCTATCCTGTATGTTACAGAGTGCTTATCTCAGAGGAGGACTATCTCAGCCAGGCTAATATTAATCATGATAGCAAACCCCCAAGTGAATAATGTCTCAAACCCAGTACACATTTATTTCTTCCTCATTGAAAGTCCAAAAAGTTATCTCTGGTCCCTAGGTGGTACCCTTTCAGTCGGCAATTCAGGAACACAAATTCCTTCTCCCTGGTGGCTCCATCTTTAACACATGGTTTACAAGATTGTTATGCTCAGTTGGCTGCATCAAACCAGTGGAGGGGAAAGAGCCTAGCACACCACACACCAAAGGTATTCCTGGGCCAGGAACAACATCACTTTGGTTCACACTCCACAGACTAGAACTAACTATGTCACATGGCCACACCTCACTGCAAAGGAGGGAAATGCCATCTAACTATGTGCCCAGAGAAAAGAGGAAATCCATTCCATGACACTTAGCCAGTCCCTGCCACAGGGACAAAGCAGAAATACAGGGCTTGACCTGCATTCTCATAGAGCTGATCACCCTGTTAGGAAAATAGACCCTACATACAGGAGCCATTCAGCCATCATGGCCCTCAGGTTCAGGGCCAAAATGGGCCAGGGATATCATCTGGCTAAGTGTGGAATCCAGTATGGGCTACTGATGACAGACAACCTTACAGGTAGGGTTTTAATGCAATCCTGAGGTATGAGCAGGTTTTTAGGTGGGTGGGAAGGAGCACCAAAGGTGTGCCATGAGAAGATAGACAAAAGCATCAGCTCAAAAGTGAGAGGGACTGGATAATACCAGTCTGGAAGGAAGGGAGGGGTAGACTGTCTCCATCAAAGGGAGCGTTTGAGCAAACGGATCTCACTGACCTCTGGTTTGGAAATGTGTGAGGTTGGGAATCTGTATTTCTAACACCAAGTGGAATCTAAGTTACTGAGATAATATAAGAGGTGATGTGAGGTCAATTTTAAACCTCTACTGAATAATCTTGCTACCTCTCATGTCTAAAACATTGAAAAACTCACATCTCAATCCAAGATTCCTCTCGATTTTCAGGTTAAAAATTCTAAGTTCGAATTATTTCAGGTGAGAGATTTTATCCAGATGGACATTAGCCGTGAACATGAACTATAGATAGGTATGTGCTGAGAATTTTCCCTCTGACTAAGCAGGGAGACTTCTTTCAAGAGGTCACAGTATTCTCCTGTCAGTTATACTCTTTCTGACAATAACTTTAATTGAATTCCCCATACCTATATTCTACCTACTTTGCACCAAGATCTTTATTTATTTATTTTTACTATTTATTGATCTTTGAGGGAGAGATAGAATGCGAGCAGGGGAGGGGCAGAGAGAGAGGGAGACACAGAAACTGAAGCAGGCTCCAGGCTCTGAGCTGTCATCATAGAGCCCGATGTGGGGCTCAAACTCACGAACCGCAGGATTATGACCCGAGCTAAAATTGGATGCTTAACTGACTGAACCACCCAGGTGTTCCACGCCAAGATCGTTACTAAGCATAGATAACATCACAGTACCAGTTTGAAAAGTGATGTGCTTATTCTCTTGTACACCCTGTATGTGCGTGTCCATGAGAATATGTTCACTAGGGTATTATATATACCTATACATATGTGAAAATATAAGCCTTTCATAAAAATTCTTCTTATAAGAAATGTAACAACAACAAAAAATAAATGTAACATATATGGACTTTTGAGCTTTCTTGGTTATTTAAGGCAAAGTGTGTGAAAAGATGATATTTACCCACCATTTCCTTGCCTACCGCCTTAACACAGAAATAGATTTTGTTTCCCAAGTCAATTTGTATTTGCATATGTGGAAATTTGCCTTACATGTGTGGAAACTCTAACAACAGAGGATCCATGTGTACCTTAGCATTTAAGAAATTACCTACCAACAACTCTCAGTTTTGACCAGTAATTGGTGTAAGGCTATGTGAATTTCCACACACTGTCCTGTCTGTTTTTGTTCCTAACCATGGCAACACCTCTCCCTACCTGTGGGGTAGGTTAAGTAGCCACTTCCATCCCTCCATACCCAGCAAGGAATCGGAGACAGAGATGCAGTTACATTCCCAAGATCTGGTAAAACTGTTAGAGCTGGAACTCAGATCACCTGGCCCCTTGTCCTAGGACCTGCCCCCTCTCTCACACCATGTTACTAATTTCAATTGAGGGGAAGTGAGCATTTGGATATAAACTGCTAAAATATAACATCATTTAGGAGGATGCATTTATACATACATAGATTCACACAGAAAGCAAAGGATGACATCATATATTTGATAAGGAGTGAAGAGCAACCATGAACCAAATTACATCAGATAGCTAACCTAGAAGGACTCTTCCCCAATATCACATGATATACCACTCAAAATCATCATTTCTTTTCTTGAATGTCATTTCCTATAACTTGGACTGTTTGCATATTGATAAATGGATCCTTATGTCTCAGAACATTATCATTCTTTTGGCAGTCTCTCAATCTTTAAAATGTATATGTGGGTAGAAAAAATACAAAGACATCTTTTTCTTTATAGACTACAACAAGCATCAGTTGGGTACTCGCTACTTACTATTACACACTGTGGTAGGTCCCGGGGATTAAATGACTATTGCCCCCAGCTGACTCAGTTTCTAGAGGGAGCTCAAGCTAAGGATTCTAAAAATTGCACAGAAACATAGGTCACTAGGACTCTAGTGACCTATTGATGTCTTAGCTCTTTTGAAAAAGTTAGAATTTTCAAAATAACAGGCAGCTGGTTTAAAATTTATGCCCTTTTTGGTCAAAGGAGACCCACAAACACAGATTGAGGAAAGCACAAGTATTGGTCTAAAGCAAACAGTGGGGGTGCCTGGGTGGCTCAGTCAGTTAAGCATCTGACTTTGGCTCAGGTCATGATCTAGTGGTTCATGAGTTCAAGCTCCACATCGGGCTCTGTGCTGACAACTCTGAGCCTGGAGCCTACTTCAGATTCTGTGTCTCCGTCTCTCTCTGCCCCTCTCCCACTTGTGCTATCTCTCTCTAAAAAATAAGTAAACATTAAAAAATTTGGCAGGGGGGGGGGGTTTGGCGGGTGGCGCCTGGCTGGCTAGGTTGGTAGAGCATGCGATTCTTGATCTCAGGGCCGTGAGTTCAATCCCCACTATGGGGGTAGAGATAGAGTTTAGGGGCACCTGGGTGGCTCAGTCAGTTAAGCATCTGACTTTGGCTCAGGTCAAGATCTCACAGTCTGTAAGTTTGAGCCCCGCATCAGGCTCTGTGCTGACAGCTCAGAGCCTGGAGCCCACTTTGGATTATGTGTCTTCCTCTCTCTCTCCCTCTCTCAAAAATAAATAAATATTTTTAAAAAACTTTTTTTTTTGATTTGAAGAAAATAGTGATTTAGAGCTTCACTGGGAAGGAGGACAATGATCCATAATAGAAAATATGCCCTCCTGCTGAGGGATGCAGCACAGTTCTACCTCAGTGCTCATCCTCCAGCAGGTGCTGAAGGCATGTTCGTTGAGTGGCCAACTAACCACACACATAGGGGCTGTCATGCAAGCTCAGTCCGAGGGAGAGTCAAATGGAGAACGTAGTGAATGTGCCTCATTTTAGTGGAGTTTAGGGTCCCTGCTGACAATGGCACATCTGCAAGAACAGAGTGACCGGTGGGGCCACCCCTGTACTCTAAGATGATCCTAACACTAATTAGTGACACAGAAGCTCAGACATTTCCTGGATCAACATCTGTATGCAGCAAGGCCTTTCCAGGGAGAAAAAGTAATTGAAAAACTTTTCAGAGGTGAGGGAGGCACGCCTAGCCACATTATTTACTTACTCAATTCGATTTTTTAGTGTCTGAAGTCACAAAAGTTGTAACCAAGACAAACCAGGCTACAAGTACCATTTTAAAATGTCATCAGCCTTGCAGAAACATTAGACATAAATCATGAGTTTTATTGTATTTGCAATTAAACAGATCAAATTTAATGTCCACAGAAAAGCCTTAGTAATTAGTATAAAGATTAATATAGTGAAATGTCCCAGGTTTAGCAGGCCTCCCAAGCAAAGCTGAAATAAAGAATTGAGTATATAATCAAATAGCATGTGAATATTAATGCGCAAAATCCTCCACGTCCCCAGCTCCCAGATGCAATTATTTTCTATTCACATTAATTGTTCCTAACAGATGACATTAATGACTTTGAGTTAAAATGTATCCAAGGGAAGATTTTACAAGATCAATGCTGTTTAGAAATAAGGTCACTTTTATAATTATTTGCTCAGATTTAACCACTATTCAACATAATAAGGTTAACATGGTGATTATTTTCTAATGTGAATATTGAAAGTTATTTTTCATACTAGCCAGTAAGTGTATTGGATGATTCACATTTTTCCTCCTACATATTTTTTCCTACTAATACTTTCCAGCACAACTGACAGACAGTGAGAGTGTGATTACTATTTATAAGCTATAGTTTTCACATACATACATATGGCTTGCTCATAAACTAGAATAAACGTTTTGGGTTAGGACATGTATTATCTAATCTAGAAATGTCAACTCCTTTGAGATTTAGCTGGCCAAGCCAGGATTTGGAAACAGACAATTAAATCACCACTGTGCAACATTTCTGCTTTTTACCTAGAAACTTCACTCACGCATCTTAGATCTTTCATCTGGAGATTTGCTCTCAGACGTGGAAAGAAGCCGAAGTCTGACGCAGTCACGAACTGATGTTGAGATTCATGTGAGTTTCCCTCTTGCCTTCAGAATACTTGTTCGGGTTATTTTCCTTCCATCAAATATGATGTCACAAGTGAACCATAAAGCGCATCCTTGAAGCATTGTCAGGCAGATAAAAATACCTTCCTTTCTTGTGTTCTCTGAAATTCAATATTATGTCCCCCAGCTGATAGAGTAAGCAGAAAGTGTCACTCTTGGCAAAAATATCATAAATCTTGACTCTGTCCCCAAGATACCTTTTTGGGTATTGATTACATCTCAAAGTCTCTGAGAAATGGTCAAGGAGCTTTTTATTAAAGCCCATGTCCTATATTATTCATCCTACTTTTATGATATATTATGTATGAACTTTTAAAAATTCATGGGCTGTACATTTTTTTTAGCTAGGGTTAGCTTTGTGCTTATTTGGCAAAACTTTAACCAGCATGGCTTTTAACTCTCATTGACATAAAGAAAGTAACTTGAAAAATACAAGAGCCAAATAAATAGTAATGAAAAATGTTAGACTTAAAACAGTGACAGATGAAAATTTGTGGATAATTGGCTTTTGATTTTGTTGTATAACTTTATCAATGTAGATAGGATATTCTATATCAAAGGTAAATATTCTCAATTTAGATTGGAATTAAATTTCAGTGGAATGCTGTCACTTTAAACATTCATGAAGACCTTAATGCCTTCCAATCTATAATATGGCCTTAAGGTCAGGAATTTTTTAAGTGTGCAATTTATATCCAAGAAACTCTTGCCTTCATTCACTCTGTCTCTCTCCTTTTTTTTCATCCATATTCGTTTTTTAAAATATAATTTATTGTCAAATGGGCTTCCATGCAACACCCAGTGCTCATCCCAACAAGTGCCCTCCTCAATGCCTATCACTCACTTTCCCCTCTCCCCAACCCACCATCAACCGTCAGTTTGTTCTCAGTATCCAAGAGCCTCTTATGGTTTGCCTCCCTGCCTCTCTGTAACTTTTTTTCCCTTCCCCTCCCCCATGGTCTTCTGTTAAGTTTATCAAGATCCACATATGAGTGAAAACATATGGTATCTGTCTTTCTCTGCCTGATTTATTTCACTTAGCATAATACCCTCCAGTTCCATCCATGTTGCTGCAAATGGCTAGATTACATTCTTTCTCATTGCCAAGTAGTATTCCATTGTATATATAAACCACATCTTCTTTATCCATTCGTCAGTTGATGGACATTTAGGCTCTTTCCATAATTTGGCTATTGTTGAAAGCACTGCTATAAACATTGGGGTAAAATTGCCCCTATGCAGCAGCATTCCTGTATCCCTTGGGTAAATTCCTAGCAGTGCTATTTCTGGGTAATAGGATAGTTCTATTTTTAATTATTTGAGGAACCTCCACACTGTTTTCCAGAGTGGCCGCACCAGTTTGCATTCCCACCAGCAGTGCAAGAGGGATCCATTTCTTCACATCCTCTCTAGCATCATAGTCTCCCGATTTGTTCACTTTATCCACTCTGACCAGCATGAGATGATATCTCAGTGTGGTTTTGATTTGTATTTCCCTGATGGTGAGTGACATTGAGTATCTTTTCATGTGTCTGTTGGCCATCTGGATATCTGCTTTGGAAAAGTGTCTATTCATGTCTTCTGCCTATTTCTTCACTGGATTTTTTTTTTTCAGGTGTGGAGTTTTGGTAAATTATTTTAGACTTTGGATACTAGCCCTTTATCTGATATGTCATTTGGAAATATCTTTTCCCATTCTATCAGTTGCTTTTTAGTTTTGTTGATTGTTTCCTTTACAGCACAGAAGGTTTTTATCTTGATAAGATCCCAATAGTTCATCTTTGCTTTTAATTTCCTTTCCTTTGGAGATGTGTCGACTAAGAAATTCCTGCAGCTGAGGTAAAAGAGGTTTTTTTTTCCTGTTTCTCCTCTAGGGTTTTGATGGTTTCCTGTCTCACATTCAGGTCCTTCACCCATTTTGACTTTATTTTTGTGTATGGTGTAAGAAAGTGGTCCAGTTTCATTCTTCTGCATGTTGCTGTCCAGTTCTCCCAGCGCCATTTGTTAAAGAGACTGTCTTTTTTCCATTGGCTATCCTTTCCTGCTTTGTCAAAGATTAGTTGGCCATACTTTTGTGGGTCCAATTGTGGAGTCTCTATTCTATCCCATTGGTCTATATGTCTGTTTTTGTGCCAATAGCATGCGTCTTGATGATTACAGCTTTGGAGTAGAGGCTAAAGTCTGGGATTGTGATGCTTCCTGCTTTGGTCTTCTTCTTTAATATTAGTTTGGCTATTCGGGGTCTTTTGTGGTTCCATACAAATTTTAGGATTGTTCTAGCTTTGAGAAGAATGCTGGTGCAATTTTGATTGGGATTAGATTGGATGTGTAGATAGCTTTGGGTAGTATTGATATTTTAACACAATATTTATTCTTCCAATCCATGAGCATGGAATGTTTTTCCATTTCTTTGTGTCTTCTTCAATTTCTTTCATAAGATTTCTATAGTTTTCAGCATACAGATCTTTTACATCTTTGGTTAGGTTTATTCCTAGTATTTTATGGTTTTTGGTGCAATTGCGAATGAGATCAGTTTCTTTCTTTATTTCTCTTTCTGCTGCTTCATTATTGGTGTATAAAAATGCAACTGATTTCTGTACATTGATTTTATACCCTGCGACTATGCTGAATTCATGTATCAGTGCTAGCAGACTTTTGGTGGAGTCTGTCAGGTTTTTCCGTGTAGAGTATCATGTCATCTGTGAAAAGTAAAAGTTTGACTTCTTCTTTGCCAATTTGATGCCCTTTATTTCATTTTGTTGTCTGATTGCTGATGCTAGGACTTCCAACACTATGTTAAACAACAGTAGTGAGAGTGGACATCCCTGTTGTGTTCCTGATCTCAGAGGGAAAGCTCTCAGTTTTTCCCCATTGAGGATGATATTATCTGTGAGCTTTTCATAAATGGCTTTTATGATGTTTAAGTATGTTCCTTCTATCCCGACTTTCTTGAGGGTTTTTATTTAGAAAGGATGCTGTATTTTGTCAAATGTGCATTATTGACAGGTTCATATGGTTCTTTTCTTTTATTAATGTGATGTATCACATTGATTGATTTGTGAATATTGAACCAACCCTGCAGCCCAGGAATGAATCCCACTTGATCATGGTAGATAATTCTTTTTATATGCTGTTGAATTCAATTTTCTAGTATCTTGTTGAGAAATTTTACATCCACATTCATTAGGGATATTGGCCTGTAGTTCTTTTTTGATGCTGGGTATCTGTTTGGTTTTAGAATCAAAGTAATGCTGGCTTCATAGAATGAGTCTGGAAATTTTCCTTCCATGTCTATATTTTTGGGACAGCTTGAGGAGGATTGATATTAACTCTGCTTTAAATGTCTGGTAGAATTCCCCAGGGAAGCCATGTGGTCCAAGACTCTTATTTGTCGGGAGATTTTTGATAACTGATTCAGCTTCTTTACTAGGTATGGGTCTGTTTAAATTTTCTATTTCTTCCCGTTTGAGTTTTGGTAGTGTGTGGGTGTCTAGCAATTTGTTCATTTCTTCAAGGTTGTCCAGTTGTTGGCATATAATTTTTCATAGTATTCCTTGATAATCGCTTGTATTTCTGAGGGAATGGTTGTAATAAATCCATTTTGATTAGTGATTTTATCTATTTGGGTCCTCTCTCTTTTCTTTTTGAGAAGCCTGACTAGATGTTTGTCAATTTTGTTTATTTTTTCAAAAAACCAACTCTTAGTTTCATTGATCTCTACTGTTTTTTTGTATTCTATATTGTTTATTTCTGCTCTGATCTTTATTATTTCTCTTCTTCTGCTGGGTTTGGGGTATCTTTGCTGTTCTGCTTCTAGTTACTTTAGGTGTGCTGTTAGATTTTGTATTTGGGATTTTTCTTGTTTCTTGAGATAGGCCTGGATTGCAATTTATTTTCCTCTTAAGACTGCCTTTGCTGCATCCCAAAGGGTTTAATTTGTTGTATTTTCATTTTTGTTTATCCCATGTATTTTTTAATTTCTTCTCTAATTGCCTGGTTGACCTATTCATTCTTTAGTAGGATGTTCTTTAACCTCATGCTTTTGGAGGTTTTCTAGACTTTTTCCTGTGGTTGATTTCAAGTTTCATAGCATTATGATCTGAAAGTGTGCATGGTATGGTCTCAATTCTTTTCTATTTATTGAGGGCTGTTTTGTGACCCAGTATGTGATCTATCTTGGAGAATGTTTCATGTTCACTCAAGAAGAAAGTATATTATGCTGCTTTGGGATGTAGAGTTCTAAGTAGATCTGTCAAGTCCATCTGGTCCAATGTATCATTCAGGACCATTGTTTCTTTACTGATTCTCTGTCTAGATTATCTGTCCATTGTTGTAAGTGGAATATTAAAGTCCCCTGCAATTACCACATTCTTATCAATAAGATTGCTTATGTTTGTGATTGTTTTATATAATTGGGTGTTTCCAAATTTGGTGCGTAGACATATATAATTGTTAGCTCTTCCTGATGGACAGACCCTGTAATTAGGGCATTAGCCCTTCTTCACCTCTTGTTACAACCTTTAACTTATAGTCTAGTTTGTTTGATATAAGTATGACTACTCCAGCTTTCTTTTGACTTCCAGTAGCATGGTAGATGGTTCTCCATCCCCTCACTTTCAATCTGAAGGTGTCCTCAGGTCTAAAATGAATCTCTTGTAGACAGCAAATAGATGGGTCTTGCTTTTTTTACCCATTCTGATACCCTATGTCTTTTGATTGGAGCATTTAGTCCATTGCATTCGGTGTTATTATTGAAAGATACGGGTTTAGAGTCATTGTTATATCTGTAGGTTATGCTTGTAGTGATGTCTCTGGTACATTTTAGTCCTTGCAACATTTCACTCACAGAGTCCCCCTTAGGATCTCTTATAGGGTTGGTTTAGTGGTGATGAATTCCTTCAGTTTTTGTTTGTTTTGGAAAACCTTGATCTCTCCTTCTAATCTGAATGACAGGCTTGATGGATA